AAAAGTGAAAGTGAAAGTAAAATGAGAACGCGCAATCGAAAGCGGTTTCAATAGCGGAACCCTGATGCCCGCAATTTATATACAGTCGCCTATACTTACCCAACGATATAATTACGAGAAAAAGTCTTGAAATATTTTTTTTATCCTCCCATCTCGTAGGCTATTTATCCCCTTTAGGGTCTCCGTAGTACACTTCATTTCCTTTCCGGCCCCACTTTATATTAAGTGGCCTTAACTACTATGTACTTACATCAAAAATGAAGTACAATGTACTTATTGTGTTCATATTGTATTGCAAAACACTTTTGTTGCTATTGAGGTGGGATATGGGTAAGGTTAGGGACAGGTTTGTTGGTATGGGTAGGTTTAAGGGTGGGTTAAGGTGTAAGGGATGGGTCAACTGTGTAATTATAAATGTAATTACAGAAATTAATTACAGATGTAATTACATGCAGGTATTTTTAAAATATATGTAAAAACATGTATGTACACAATAAGTGCATTGTACCAAATTATTAATTTAAATGTGAGTACATAGTTGTTAACGCCACTTAATATAAAGTGGGTCCTCCTTTCCGAACACGGAACTGGGATGCGGCGGATTTCGGGAGAGGGGGTGGGGGGAAGCAATCACGATGTCAACTTAACATTGTGATGGCTCTCAGCCATCGGCGATGGACGATGGCATCGTCTATCAGCCCAACCCTAGTGCTATCAGGCTAAAGTTAGCATTTTCCAAGATCTCCTACTGCACCTTTAAGCAATTTAGTTTTGAGGTGCGTACGGCTCATGCGCAAAATGTCAGTTGTCAGAGGCAGAGGGTGGTGAATTTAATTTTTACTGTAATAAAATGACGTTTTGGAATTTGCAACAGAAAGCTTGGGATGAGGTGTATTAGAAATTAGTTCAACACACAAGTGTCTGCAGGACAGAAACATGACAAATGTCTTGAAATAAAACATCTGAATAGCATGAGGTGTGGCTAGGCATGGGCCGATTACCGGTTTCACGGTTTCAAAACCGCTAATATTTTCCGTTATACCGTTCCTGCGGTATGCTCTGTTTTTCATGTGTCCTCAGAGACTGAAAGTGTAGGAATCCCTCCGGTTGAGTGCAGTGTAGAGAGTAACACGACCCTCCTCCTCCTGTTGGTGCAAGCGTGGTCAGCCACTTGCGTGTAGGATGGCCGAACTTAAGGAGCTGCCCCTGGAACTTACGCGATCTGCAACCGGCCATTTTTTGTCTTATTGCAAGCAACTCGTCTCTGTTCT